TCTCTCTCTCTCTCCTTCTATCTCTGACTTTCTCTCTTTTCATATATCTTCTTCTTTGTCTCTCTTTCTCTCTCTCTCTCTCTCCCTCCCCCTTTTGTCTGCCTCTCCCTTTCCCTTCCCTGTCGTCGTCTGTTCGCGGTTAAATCTCGCCTCGACAACGTTCAACGTTGCACCGATCAGACCCCTCGTAGCAAATGCGAAGGTCTACTCGCCGATGTCACTATCGATCCGACATCCCGCCACGTGCGAATCGTCCAAGGCGGCTCACCTGTCCGAAGGATCGCGCGTGGCCTTTTTTTTTTAGATCGTCGCCTCTCGCCGACGGGGGCGAGAGCGTCTCCGAGACAATTCCGACGGAGGTGATAAAGGAGAAGGCTCAAATGAGAGAATTAACGACCAAATAAGGTGGAAACATAAAATGATGAACTAAATTAGATGAACTAAATTATATTATTATTATCACATAATATCTCTCATGATGAAAAAAATTGAGATAACTTAATCGAGATAATTTCGGAAATCTTTTTAAATATGTAAAAGATGTCTGGAATGAAAATTTTACGAGAGAAGATCGAATATCAAAAGTACGGAACAATCGGATCACGTAAGATCCTCTTGATCCGCAGATTCAATTCCGTGCAGTTATATTTACATCGCGCGTTACGACTATCCGTCGACGGATGAGATATCGCGGATTCGGAGATTACGATTCGACGTATGCGCACATCGACCGCGTTTTATGGTAGCTTAAGATATCGTTGATGCAGACGACGATCGGATTGAGCGCAAAACTCGTTTGTTTGTTTCCCGCAGGCAGAAAATAAGCTCGGAGAGCAGCATCACCGAGGTGATGACGTGGTACACGAACGTGAACGCCGCTATGCTGGACCACCTGACTAATCAGATCAAGGAGACGGACAACAGCGGGGTGTGGAGGTAAACAATGTCGGAAATCTCCCGAAAGAGCGGGGAAAATGACGACGGCGATCGTAATCCAAGCGCGTCTCTTGCGGGAGGAGGAGATACATGGGAAACTTCCCGTTTCAGGTATCTGATAGCCTTCAAGAATCTTTTGCGGAGCATCGAGAGCCTCGGTATCGCCTCCGTCGAGGGAATCAATTACTTCGGCCGAGGTATTCTTCTCGGGGATAACTACATTAGTTACGTCCGCCACGAGGCACTGGGCCGCGACCTCTTGAATGCCGCCCTGACGTACGTGCCATCCCTGAAGAAGTTTTACAACGAAATCACGCGCACCATGCCCGATTACGGCAAGATCAAGGCAAGGTAAAACGGTCTTTCCCGCCTTCGTCTCTCTCTCCGCCCCCTCCCGTAGACGGTCACGCGCGAGAATATTTTCGCCAAAAGAGGAAAAAAAGAAAAAAAAAGAATTATTAATAACTAACGGCGTAACAGGCAGATGATAGATTACGGCAATAAGAGCGCGCAAACAGGACGAGACATGCGAACGAACATTTTGCATTCTCTTCCCAGGCGGGACGAGATCCTGCGGAATCAAAAGAGGGAGCCGAGCGTGGAGGATGCAATCACTTACTTCGACTCGATGGCCACTTACATCGACGAGCTGCGTAAGCTGCAGCGGGAATTGCGTCACATGATAAGGTAGCAAATCCTTATAATGGAATTGTCCTCTGGTCTCGATTTGTCTCCGCGAGAGACGAGTACACGGGGTGTATTTGGTAATTGCTAGCGTAATCGGGAAAGTATCGATCTCCCCCGTTCCGCGGGATGGGACGATTTGCGAGAGAAATTTCTCCTTGGAAATCTTTCGACGCGCGATTAATCATAATTTATTTCGAAGAATGTACAGTCGCGCTCATGTACGGGTAAATTCGTTAAATTGGATTTCAATAGACGTCAAATCAATGTTTCTAACAAGGCAGATTTTCTCCGCTTTTTGTTTTTGCTCAGTGGTATTTAACTGTTTCACTAGGCGCACTTCAATAAAATCTAATGATGTTAAATTGGATTTTAAGAATATAAAGTATTTTAAGTATTCGAGGTAATTTACGTAAAGTTTCATTGAATTTTTATTAAGCGTACGAAACAAGATGCTATAAATAAAATTAAATTTTTATTAGAACAACTAATCTCTGCATTGCAATAAAGCTTTACATAAATCAGCTTGAATACTTAAAATATTTATATAAAAAAATTGAATTTTTTCTCATTATTCCTTAATTATATTTCCATTAGAGCACATTTCTATTTATTTACTTAAATAATTTTTTATTTAGATTCTAAATCATCACTAAACTTGTTGTATCATTTTTAAGTGCAATTTAAATTTGGATAATTTAATCGATAAATTATTAATATTAATCTGTAAATTCTTCATAATTTTTTTATTGAAAATTAAATATATATATATATATATATATATATATATATATATATATATAT